ATATAACATATAATATGTATAATGTCATATAATATAATTATACATAATGTCTGAAATCATCTGTACACGTCTTTTAAAATAAAAAGAAGTGATTTATATCAAAACTTCTAGCAACTTGTGTAAATAAATCTGGTACGCTTTATCCAATATAACGATATTTTTAACTTTTGATCGAAAATGGATTTGACATCCGAATGTTGAATTGTTTTAAATGTAACATGTACATTATATTACAGATTCGGATTATACACAAAAAATTTTATCTTTATCATTTTTCTAAAAATGTTTCTATTGACCTTGTAATGATCTTGATAGTAAGTGATATAAAAAATAAACTGCTCTTGATGTAACCTAAGATTAACTGCGAGAACGTGATAGAGACATCTGATTTTATATTTGTTTATGCGCACGCGTATGTGCGCGACTGTATTCGTAATACTCAATTGTAAATTTTCACGAGCTTTTAAATTGTTATAAACAATCTCGCTCGTGTACAGATTTTGAGACCTGTTCTCTGTGTCGATCATCACGTAAGTACGTTCGGCTGTTCGCTTCACCATAGCCCGATCGTATCCATAGACTAGAACGTAACACAATACAGCATACCAGATTTACTTATCAAAATTTTTAGGATAAAAATTACCTATCTTTATTTAAAAAAAAATAGTCTCTCTCATTATCACACATCCTGTATATTATTATATCTATAATTGTATTTTATCTTGTATAAACTATATATAATACACAAATATTAGTGCTAATGTGACACATAAATATAAAATGTACATGATAATTAAGCCTCTTGCACAATGGACGGAATAGCGATAGCGATAGAAATAACGAAAGTTTTAAAGAGTTTATATTTAAAAATAAAGATAGGAACAGCGGAATCTAACATACAAAAATACATATGTATCAATGCAGATCAGAAAATCGGAATAAACAATAGCGATAAAATTTCCGACGAGTTGGAATTCTGTGTTAAAAACTGTGTTATTTCTATTGCTATCGCTATTCCTTCCATTGTGCAAGGGGCTTTATATATTTTTGTGAGCAGATTGGGTTAGTAGATCTTCTAACATCTTTGGGAATTATTCCGGATAACATAATTGGATATTCTGTCGGAGAACTCGTATGTGGCTATNCCGATCAATGTCTCACTTTAGAGCAAACTATTCTATCAGCGTATTTGATTGGCTCAGCATGTGTCGAAGGCAATGTGCCTCGTGGATCCATGGCCACTGTCAGTCTTGATTACGAAACTCTCAAAAATATATGTCCAGCAGATATTACAATNGCATGCCGCAATAGTCGGAAAAGCAATGTTATAAGTGGACCCGCGGAATGTGTACGTGTGTTTATGAAAAAGTTACAGGTAAATTGAAGTATCAGTTAATTAAGTGCCGTTAACTAATAACCGTTAAAATAAGAGTTTATGACATTGTAATAGAAGCCCAAAGTAATTTATATATAGTTAACACTACTTAATTCTGTTTTACTAGACTAGTAACATACATGTNGAAGAAATTCCGTGCAACAATATACCTTATCACAGTTGTTACCTTACGTCCATTAAAGATAAACTTTTAAGAAAATTGAGTATCTTAATACCAAACGCAAAAAAAAGAAGTCCAAGATGGATCAGTACATCTGTACCCTCTTCTGAATGGTCAACTTTAGCAGCACAATTGTGTTCCGCTGACTATCTCACAAATAATATATTGAGTACGGTACTCTTTGAACAAACAGTTTATCAAATTTCAAATGATGCCTTGACTGTTGAAATTGCGCCAACCAGCGTATTGCAGCACATTTTGGAAGAAGAATTTCTTCATACACAAGCAAATAATATTGCGCTCACTCAGAGTCACATAAATACAAATCCAATTACTGTAATGCTGCAAGGAATTGGAAAACTTTACAACTGCGGCTTGCAACCACAAATTGCCGCTTTGTATCCGCCCGTANAATTTCCAGTTAGCCGCGGGACTTTTATGATATCTCCATCTATTAAGTATGAACACTAAATTCATTAAACGTTCTTAAGATATCTGATAAAACGAAGTTGCTGAAAGTAAAACAATATAAAGAAGTAGAAGTAAACCATTGCTAAATGATTTCAGTATAAATCATAGAAACTTTAAACCCCGAAATATGATAAAGTATAATAATTTGATTATTTATTATATTTAAGGGATGCAACTTAAGCATCTTCGACGAATTTTTGAATTGATATAGCAATTTAACTTTTTATGTGTATAAATGTACATAAAAATATATTTGCACGTACATCCACCATAATGGCAATCGGAAAACTATTTGCTAGTTGAACGCTATCACAAGCATTAAATTTATTTTATAAAAATTATTGTTATTCTTAGATGGGATCACTCCAAAGACTGGTTTGTACCGAATGAGATACCAGAATATAGTAAAACCAAGGAGAGACATGTAGAAATACATATTGAAGAAGACTATGAATATATGACGGGTCACGTAATAGATGGAAGAACGTTGTTTTCGGCAATGGGTTATATTATGCTTGTTTGGCAATTTATCGCTACAATCAAAGGAAAATTCTATTCAGCATTACCAGTAGTATTTAGAGACATAAGATTCGTTCGCGCTACTCATTTACCACAAAATGATACCGTAACCTTAATAGTCCGAATACACGAAGGTATCTATATCATTTCTTTTTAAAGACTTTCTGAAATAAACTAAATTACAAACACAATATTAAATGCTACATAGAATCGGTTTTCAAAACTAGTAAAAAAAAGAGATATATCTATACAATTGAGATTTTTTGCAAACTATTGTAGACAGCGGTAAGTTNGAGGTGTGCGAAGGAGACAGCGTTGTTGTGATAGGTAAGGTGTCAGCTGAAGTAGATCCCAAGAAAGAAACTGTACCATCTCACTTATTACCAAAAGACAATGAAGAGGAAGAACACATGAACACTGAAGATATTTACAAAGAATTGAAGTTACGCGGATATCAATACAACGGTGAATTTCGTGGATTAAAAAGCGCATCAATCACGGGTAACAAAGGACACGTCGCTTGGATAGGCAATTGGGTCACGTTTATGGAAACGTTGCTGCAGCTGTATATACTCGGAAAAGACACCAAAAAACTGTACGTTCCTACGAGCATTCGAAAATTAGTAATTGATCCGATTCTTCATAANAAAAAGTTACAAAACTACGTGACGCAGAATACTAAACGTAAGTATTTTATTTACAAAAGCAAAAAATTAGTTTGTTTTGTGCATTATCATTGTTGTTCGTATTATTATACAAATAATCCGACAATATCTTGTAAAGAGATGTGAGAACTGTAAGATTAAAAACATTTTGTTTGATATATAATTTCTTTTAGAATTGCCAGCACGAGTATATAAAAACATAGACATCGTAATATCCGGTGGCGTAGAGATTTGGGGTGCGAAAGCTACTCCGATCGTTTGCCGAAAATCGAACGCAAATCTTGTGATTGAAGAGCAAAGATTTGTGGCGAATCGCGATCGCGAAAAGATTTCTTTGCGCGAAGCAATACGGATATCAACGCAAATCGCACTGGAGGATCATCAAATTACAAAAGTAAAAGCTATCGAACTAGTAGAAGATACAGATGATATTGCGAGCAAAGAAGAACTAGCATTTTCAGCGATACTTGAAGCTTGCGACAATTTGCCGTTAGTACAGGCAAATATTATTTTAATGACATCGCCTACTCGGTTTAACGCATCAGACTTGCCACCGACCGTAACAATCGCAAATTTAACGAAACATGTGGACAATAAAGTGTTAATGATTATCGGATTTAATTTTTTGTCAAAACGGACTTTGTTAGAACGAATTTTATTCTTTCTCGAAGAAGGTGGTTTTGTGTTATCACGTGAAAAATACAAGGTAACCGAAGTAAACGAATCGCATTCTGTTTCTTGCGCATTGACCGACAACGATTATCTACAACAATATGGATTAAGTGTTATTCTTGAAAAATGTACTGAAAACGAAATGATCGTGCTTTTGAAGAAACGAGTTTTGATCAAAGAAACAACTGTTGTTCATGTCACCAATGATAACTTTAAATGGCTAGAAAAATTAAAATTACTCATAGACGAGAACAAATTATTCGATCAGTACAAAAGAATTGTACTCGTTAACGAAGATGATTTCGAGTGCGGTTTATTGGGATTTGCTAATTGTTTAAAAAAAGAGCCCGGTGGTGAGCTCGTAAGAAGTGTGTTTATTCAAGACAAAACCGCTCCGAAATTTTCTCTGCAAGATCCCTTCTATGCGCAACAGTTGCAAAAAGATATGACAGTCAACATTTTGCGATCTAACAAAACTTGGGGTTCTTACCGTTATTTCTGCTTGCCGGCTCCGGAACCCGCACTTGTACCCTCTGCTTATGTTTGTCAAACGGTAAGCAAAACTATTCGCATCTTTTTGACTTAATAATAATGTCACGATACTTTTCATGTACTGTTCAGTTTTCTACTTTTTAAACATATTTTTCAACATATAATGCTTTTGAAAATTTAATATTTCTTTACTTACTAGATTTGTGGTGATCTCAGTACATTTCGTTGGATGGAGAATGATATATCAATCAATTCCCCGAATTCTGATAACTTAATACGTGTAGTTTATTTATCCATTAATTTTAAAGATGTAATGCTAGCCACGGGAAAATTAACTTTTGAAGGTAATGAAAAGCGATTTGAAAGTATGAATCTCGGACTGGAATACGTAGGATTCGATGCCGAGGGACGACGAGTAATGGGAATGCGCGACAACAAGTATGTATAAGTGAACAAACGTATATATATCTCTGTTCATGAAAAAAATACAATTATTTTTATATAAATATATATGTTAATAAACTTTCTGGATTTACAGATGCATCGCGAATGTCGTTTTGAAGAGTGACTTGCAATGGGTCATACCAGANACTTGGACGTTCGAAGAGGCGGCTACGGTTCCTTGCGNATACAGCACGTCGTATTACGCTTTATACATTAAAGGGAAAATGAAAAAGGGCGATAAAGTACTTATACACTCTGGCTCTGGAGGCGTCGGACAGTCAGCAATTTATCTCGCCTTACATGAGGGTTGCGAAGTATTTACTACAGTAGGCACCGCTGAAAAGAAACGTTTTATCCGAGAAACGTTTCCGGCTATTCCCGATGATCATATCGGGAATTCGCACGACACTAGTTTCGAGCAAATGGTTATGCGTCTGACAAACGGTCGCGGTGTTGACATAGTGCTGAATTCATTGGCAGAAGAGAAACTTGTCGCATCTGTTCGTTGTTTAGCGCGTAAAGGTCGTTTCTTGGAAATCGGAAAATTCGACCATGTATCAAACAATCCTTTGGACCTGTCATTATTTAGAAATGGAATTTCTTTTTACGGTGTGTTTCTGGATGCGATGTTTGCAAGAGAACACAGAAACAAGGCCGAGTTAATGAAATTAATGGATGATGGTCTCAAGAATGGTATTATTAAACCTATAAAAGCTAAAGTTTTTCAGCGAACAGAAATCGAAGAGGCTTTTAGATACATGGCAAGTGGAAAGCACAGAGGAAAGGTACATAACTAATATATAACAATTAAATGAAATTCTTATTCGTTTTTCTTCAACGAGCGAATTTTTTTCTAGATAATTTTGAATATTCAAGAGGCAGACAAATGTGTAAACGCGCCGATCATCGCACATCGTCGTTATTATTGTCATAAAGATAAAACTTATATCATACTAGGCGGTCTAGGTGGCTTCGGATTGGAACTGACCGAGTGGCTAATATCCCGAGGTGCAAAAAATGTCATGCTGATTTCAAGAAGCGGCATNAAAAATGGTTATCAACAGCTAAAGGTTTCGTTATGGAGATCCTACGGCGTAAACGTGACGATCGTTAAAGATTATAATATCGCCAATCCTATAGATTGCGAACATCTTTTGCTACGTGCGGAGAAAGAAGCACCTGTGGATGCTATATTTAATCTCGCTGTTGTTTTAAATGACAACATTTTAAAAAATCAGATTACGGAGAGTTTCGTAGAATCTTTCAGAACTAAAGCTTGGCCAACGCAAATATTGGATAAACTGTCGAGAAAGATCTGTCCTAAACTTCGACATTTTGTTGTGTTCTCTTCGGTTTCCTGTGGCAGAGGAAGCGCTGGCCAAACTAATTACGGAATGACCAATTCCGTGATGGAAAGAATATGCGAAAACAGAGTAAAAGAAGGATATCACGGGTTGGCGATACAATGGGGAGCTGTTGGTGACGTGGGTCTCGTTGCTGACAGGCAGGAAAACGACATGGAACTAGTTAGCAGCGGCACGTTGCATCAAAGAATATATTCCTGTATTGAAGAATTAGAAAAATTTTTACTTCAGAATCGTCCGATTGTGAGCAGCATGGTGGTAGCTGAGAAGAAAAAAATATCCGAATGTTCCGATATGGTTCATGTTGTTTCTTCTATTATGAGTAAGAATTCACATTATTCAGACGGATAAGTCTCAGAACAAAATAAATCGGACACGGCAGGATGTGCCGATCGAACACAGACTCAATNGGACACGAGGTGAAACAGACACACGATAGTTTCAATCGGACACACAGTATTAAAACAAAACTATTTTGTTTATGTTTTTTTTTTGTTTGTGTTATAAGCGTGTAGACAGGGAGGCTGCGCTCCCTCGCAAGGGAGGAGTTACGCTTTTTCTCTGCACCTTCCTCTCGCTTTGCGCAGAAAGTTGAAACCTATGTGAAACCTTGTTTCAGTTTTAGCCACGTTGCTACAACACGAACAAACAGAACATAAAAAATAGTCTTGTTTTAATACTAGTGTCCGATTGGAACTGTGTTTGATTGAGACTGTCGTGTGTCTGATTGATACTGTGTCCGATCGACACATCCTGCTCCGATTGATTTTGTGCGCATCTGGGACTTACCTTATTCAAATTTATATTTTTTTTAGTGTATGCTATTTATACTTTCTGCAAATTTTGACGTTTCTTTATTCTGTGTGATAAGATATACAAAACTTAAAAGGAATAAGTCAAAATACATTTCTGGCCGAGCTTGGAATAGACTCTCTGATGGAAGTGGAAATCAGACAAACTTTAGAACGCGATTTCGATGTGTATCTTTCTCCAAAAGAGATTCGAACTCTCACTTTTGCAAAACTTTTTGAGATGTCTGATACAGAGGCCAATAATAAATCTGAAAAAAATGAGCGCAGTAAATGCGAACAAAATGTAGTACCTATGTTTGGTATTGTCAGAGACAAAGACTTTTTTTCTGAAATTCTTATGGACTTTTCGACTGAAAGCAAAGACATTTCTACTCAAGTTTTTCTTATACCAGGAATTGATGGTTGTGGAACTGTCTTTAATCATTTAGAGTCGTATATTAAATTTCCNACAACATCTTTGCATTATAACACATGTATCATTTCCAGTAGGAATACTTTGTCAGAAATGNTTGAGATTCTTGAACAGGTATGCCGCAACGTTATTTTAATAATTATATTTATAATATAATGTTTATATTCTGTAAGTAATTTTGTAAATCTTAAAACATAAATTTTTGAATATGTGACAGGCTATATTAACAAGATTACGAGACAAGAACGATTTTGTGATGGTTGGATATTCCTTCGGATCTATTCTCGCAATAGAACTTGCAACGCGATTGGAAAGTTTAGGTTTTAACGGTCGAATAGTTCTTATCGATGGTGCACCCGATCAATTAATGGTACTAAGTAAAAAGTACATGATCTTCTCACATACAGAATCAGCAGATAATGATGCAGAAATACTGGTTCCTGTTCTGATGAATGTTCTTCTGAAAAC